TATTATTATTATTATTATTATTTCCAGTGGAAAGAAACTGAGGGCAACTTTTTCATGTTAAGTTTAAGGTGAAGAAGACATAACAGTTATAACTGTAATTGTTTAAAAATCTAAAGCAAAGGTGTGTATACGTGTGTATGTTTACAGCAAAAGGGGTACACAGATAAGAGAAGGAATTATGTCCCTATGGCTGCCACTTATTTCAATACCTTTTTCTCATACGCGCTTTTCTTCCAGTCAGTCACATTTATGGTCTTGGAGTTCAGCTGAGGGAGAAAGTGGTTAGAATGTGATGAAGAGAAGATGGCCACAGCTAAGCCACAGCTAAGACTAAAGAACAAAGTTTAGCACCCCTCACTAGTATGCTTTTCTCTGTCAAAAAGTTAGACCAACAAATGGATCTCCCATCATCATGCCTTTAGCCTGGAAGACATTGCTGTGGAGACTCTCAGTGCTCTATCTTCAAGTACCAGGCTAAATCATGGTTTATTTTTATGTCTGACACTTTCAGCTTCAAAACAATTGTTTGTGAAAGGTCCTCAACCCAGGAGATCACACTATTATTTGAAGCACATTGGCACTGACTCTGGGTTGATATTGTCCAGGTTCACAAAATACAATCGGCCCCTCATATCCACAGATTCCTTATCTATGGATTCCACCATCCACAGCTTGGAAATATTAATATATACATATAAATTCCAAAAAGCAAAGCTTGATCTTGCCATTTTATATAAGGGAAACCATTTTATTATGCCATTGTATTTAATGGGACTTGAGCATCCACAGATGTTGATATCCACAGGAGGTCCGGGAACCAAACCCCAGTGGATACCAAGGGCCCACTGTACTGAGAAGCAAAAGTTATGTTTGTAGTTCTGCCTCAAGAGACTCCGGGACAATGAGGTTGGTACTGAATGTATGAATGTATAAAAATCTGAGTGGTTTTTGTGGAAAAGGAGGACAGACAAACAGCTCTAAACTGTGTTTTGGCATTTCTGTGTCTATGGCCTCAAACAGACAGCCCAAAAGGGCCACCATTGAGCTGCATTGGGGCATGGTGTTCAGATGACACAAGGCCCAAACGTGGCTGGAAGCTACCCCGGGCACACCTCATCCCGGAAGAACCAGCCCAAAAAGGAGTAGTAAAATACCATGCGGTTGCTGTGGTCCTGGAATGAACGGTGGCAGTAAGGTCGCAAGGTAGACGTTTTGTGCCATCTGCTTTGCCCCGTATGGTCAAACCATGATGTAGGTTTTTAACTATGGTTAGCACTAACCCAGGTTTGCCATGAAAACAGAATTGAACTACTAAACCAAAGTGTCTTGATGATCTGTTTATTTACAAATGCATAGATTGGGGAGATATAATTGAAGTATTGTAATAGGCACAGAATCCAAAAGTTCATTTTCTAAACAAATGAACCAAATTAAAATAAAATATGAACCTTTAAAAGCTATGACAGACAAGGTAAAAACTAGTTTCATAGTCCTTCTTGACCAAATGAGTGTGCAAGGATATATTCCAGATGGTTATACCTAGAGCTTGGAAAAGTTACTTTTTGGATTATAGTTCCTAGAATCCTCTAGCTAGCATTTGTAGTGGCCATACTGGTTAGGAGATTCTAGGAGCTGAAGTCCAGAAAAGTACTTTCCCAAGGTCTGCTTATAAACAAGGATGCGACCTATTGTTTCTCATCAATTTTACCAGTAGCATGGCAACACAAAAAGCTAAGGGAGTTTTAAGGGTTGATCCAGAGTGATGTCTTCCAGATTAAAGGCATGATGATGGCATACCCATTTCTAGGTAATAGGAAAGAACAGTCTGTAGAAGTATGATGTGATACAGTAGAGTCTTATGGACAACATGAATCATGTTGACCTACGTGGCTCAATCTAGCCCTTCCTACATCATGTTTGTTTATTCTGTACCCAGAGAGTAGGACTAGCAAAGGATTAAATCATGGTATGTCTGGTTGGAGGAACACACAGAATGAGTGGATCCAATCCGAACTGTACCACACACTGCCCTTTGGTCTGAGCTCTGTATGCTGCTGACCCCAGCTGAATGTAAAGTTTTTAACTAAGCTGAAGAGCAGTGGGAATCATGGTCTATAAAAAGCTACATTGCTGAGCTGGTAAAGAGAAAAAAAGGAAGTGATAGCAAAAACACACGCACACAAACACACACAAGCATGCACATGCACACACACACATATATTGCGTTGCCTTTAAATAGCTTGATTTTGGCCTAAATTTCTTCAGTCCACAAAAAGCAATGATAGCTTTTCAACACCCATATTATCAAAGTGTCTTGTCCTTTCCTGCAACATGATGATTCCCATTCAAATTTTGACATTTACAGAGTACAGTGAGTGGCCATCACCTGTTCACCATTGGGGGAAAAAACAGTGCTGTTGCATAGTTAAAGATACTAACTCTCGAGTATGTCCCAGAGTCCTTTGTGCTAGAGACCAGAGGAAGTGCATCTCCATTTGTGTGGGGAAAATGGGCTTTCATCTGTCTTGGCTACTTGCGGCCAATAATTCTGGTTCTTCTGCCCTTCACCGCAAGCCTTGATCTACTTATGCAGCACACCAGATTGATTTTACTGCCTAGCAAAGCCAAAGGAAGTTCTCCTCAAAAGAGATCACTTTAGTTAATAAAGTGAGGAGAAAGTGGAATGCATGAGGGACAGAGACAGAAAACTGAAGGCTTCTGTTTCATAGGAGTTTATCACACGGGGGACAATTGGAAGTATAAACAGTGATTAACCCATGATAATCCCACAATTATGCTAATGGTTTTCACATGACGTCATGTTCAAAAGTGCTATTATCCCATGAATAACCCATGATAATCCTGCAATTGTTCTAATGGTTTTCACACGACATCGAAATGACATCGAAATGAAACATTAAAATGTCATTATCTCATTAATAACCAGGCAAGAAACAGCAGCAAAAACAACAGGCTTTTTGCTGTTTATTGCCTGGTTATTGCCTTATTATTCACAGGATAATGGTGCTTGTGTTAATCTCATTTTAATCGCATTTTAATGTCAATTGTGTGATTTTCACAGGTTAATTACTGTTTAAACTCCTAATTTCTTCCCATGTGATAAACTCCATATACTGTTTTTGTTGTTGTTTATGAAGGACCCAGGACAGAATGCAAAACACAGATAGGTATTCGACCATACTAGGTACACGGTATGATGCTTCAAACAGGCAGAGTATGTTCAGGGCATTTCTTTATATATAAAACTGTGTTTTGCATTTTGTAAGTTGTAACAGAAACAGAATACTGGTATAAAGGGAGAGGAGTGTTCTCCCCAACTATTTATTCCATCCTTCTGGTGCAGAAAAGAAAAATGAATCTGCACCAAACGCTTTCAGTGCATCCTCTGTTGAAAATATTTGCATAGGTGATATACAAAGAGTGAGAGGGTGTTTAGGTCTGTTTTAAATTACTTTTAATTCCTTAGAGAGAATTGACCAATGTGGCTCAGTTTGTACTTTGGGAAGCACTTGAGTTCTCTGGCTGAGAATCCTAAATACCCCTCCCACAACTACAAATCCCATATGATGGAATCAAAACCCCAGACAGTACTGGAACTAAAAGGATCCCAGCCTTTAAAGATAATCACATTTGCTTCCATCTAATAAAAACTGGTTTTGTCACTGATACCAGTGCCTAGAGCTCCTATTAATATTGTGGGGAGACAAAGGTATTTACTGCTCCACACTTTACTCTCAAAGCAGAATTTATGTATCAGATGGTTGAGCCAGACACATCATTAGCCTACATGCCTTTGATATCTAAACAGGCAGGTGATCCCACCCTCGACACAGTCTGAGTTCTAAGACTGATGTTATTTGGGATTTTTTTCTTTGAAAGACTAGAGTGTTGATTCATCATCCCTATCTTGACTCTCACAAGGCCATCATACAGCTCTTCTCATTTCAAAATCATCAGCCCCGCCAGCTAGACTCCATCAGTCTTGAGAAAACAGGAAGCACCACCACAGGAAACAGGGGCTCTTACACCCTCCCAGTGAAATGAGCTGCAGAACCTGTTGCAAAATGTTAACAGAAACACTCGTCAAGCTCCCAAGAGAAAGCAACGAGAAATCTGCTGACCGATCATCTGCCGTCCAATGCTGGGTATCATCTTGTAATAATCAATATGGTCAGACTACTGTGACAGCCAGAGTGGTACAGTGGTTTGAGCATTGGGCTATGACTCTGGAGGCCAGGGTTAGAATCCCTACTTGGCCATGGAAACCCACTGGGTGACCTTGCACAAGTCACAGTCACTCAGCCTCAGAGGAAAGCAAAGGAAACCCCACTCTGAACATATCTTGCCAAGAAAACCTTGTGATAGGTTCACCTCAGGGTCATCATAAGTATGAAATGACTTGAAAGCACATAGCAACAACAAAAAACTACTGTCCCTTGGACATGCTTGCTTATTATTCATAAAACATATTCACCCAGGCAATTTAAACAATGGAAGGCCACAGGAATTTTTAGAGTTGAAAATCTTTTATATAATGGTAAATCAATAACTAAGGAACAATTAAAACTAAAACAATATTAGAACTAATTGGCTACTCATAGAGAAAATACTAGCATTGGCAAAAAAAAAGTTAGCTAAAATATCGGTGAAGTTGAGAGATCTTACAAAGTATAAAATGCTCTGAGTTGCAGAAGAACCTATTACTAAAGGTTTAGTGACCAGCTTTATGGCTGATTAATTGAAGAAAAGTTCCACATTGAATCAGCGGCTAAAATAGCATGGGAATCTGATACTACAAAAGAAATTAAAGAGATGGAATTGAATAAAATGTATTCTTTAGTTCTATCAAGCTCAGTGTCTGAAAATATAAGAGAATTCACATGAAATTTATAGATAGATGGCATTAAACCCTAACATGAATGTATCACATCTTAATGTGGCACTATTCTGCAATATGTGAGGTGTATGATATTATATGTGGATTTCATGTCAAAAAGAAAGGCAAGCAGTTTTGGATGAATTTGACTAATTTCATTATGCAAACACTAAGTCAGAAAGTGATATTTTATGAAAAGCTATTATTATTCTCAGTCTTTATGAGCAATAATTAGCACTTAAAAATGAAGACCTTATAAATATGATGTTGATGGCAGCAAAACAAGAAACTGCACATTTTTAGTACACTGTAAAAGACTTAAGTGTTAATAAATGGTTAAGTCCATCCTTGTTTTAATACAGATGATTAATAATTTTGGTAAAATGTCTTGATATTCAATTAACTGATCGAAGTCAGAAATACTGCTGGAGGAAGACTCTATCATATTTAAAGCATGCAGTTTCAAAATTGCCCAAATTATATTACTTCTTTGGGTAAAGCATTCATGCCACTTTATGGACTCTTTACAGATGCAAAAAATGTGCAAGTGTGTGAACCCCGATCGCACATTATTGACAATTTAAAGGCACTTTAAAGAGATTTTAGCCTCTTGTGTGATAATCTCCTATGTTCCTCACTAAACTAAACAACCTAGAATTCCATAGGAATGAGCCTTGTAGCAGTTAGTGGTATCGAAGTGCTATAATTGAGTGTATCCAAACTGCACAATTTCAAACCCATCTTCTCTGATAGTTCAATATGATTAAAATAAAGAAACAAAACTTTTCCCCAGAAATAAAATATGCACTATTTGAGTGCTAGGAGAACGCTATATCTCCATAGAAGCACCAGCTTAAGTGAAGATGAATGATAGTATGCAGCTAACAAGAAACAGATAGCCATTTTGTGCAGAAAGACTGAGAGATTGTCTGGAATGGTTTCTAAACAGATAGAGTCTTCTTTTGAGCTCTGCTAACTACTTATAATTCTGATTTAAAGAAAGACTTTTATGAATGGATGAAAATAATTTATTATGACAACTGTATGAAGTTTTTCTTAGCAAGCTCTATTTTTAAGTATGGATAGATTCTGAATAGATTGTACAGAACATTCAATCAATAACTTAGAATCTGGATTGAAAATTTCCATTCTATTTTCCATCATTAGGATTTTTATAACTCAGAAAGTAGGATTTTCTTGACATTTCATTATTCTCCTCCTGCCCCCGTTCTCTACGTTGTCAGCTGGTTTTAGCATCAGAAAGATTCAGCACAATGGCCACATCTGAGTTATAAGAATCATCAAAATGGATAGTCTTATCTCCAGCTTTCTTGCCTTCATAACAAAAGTCTAAAGATATCTTGAAGGCAATGTCATTAATTGAAGCATAAGCTTTTATATATTGAACATTTTGTCAGATTTCCCATCAATTCTTCAACCCATGTAAGAATCCATCTAGAACAGACCCATTCAATCACCTGTTGAATGGTGTATCAACACACAGGTGAATCCCATTGATTCGGTGGGTCTTCTCTAGTCAGGAATAACAAGTGGATTTAGGCCTCTCTTTGTGTGTAGAGATCTCCTCTGACTCCTGTTTTATACACTGATAGGTTTCTATGGGGGGAAGCAGACGAGCGGCCACGAACCACCCCTTGCTGGGGATGGAATGGGCTGCTTCTCTGAATTCCACTAGTAATATTTTAATTGGATACTTGTCCATCTAGTTGCTCTAATGGAAGGAAAGTATCAAAATACTGCTGATCTCTATCACTTAACCACACCAAGGTTATACAAAGAGCAGCAAATCCTCTGGGGTGTAACAGTTGGTCTGGTCCTAACCTCAGCCTCTTATCTCCCACAGACAGCTTCCAGTTCCGTCCTTTGCCACAAGAGTCATAGAGGTGCAATTCAATTGAAGCCACCCACCACCACCAACTGGGTACATATGGGAGGATATGAGGGATAGAGAGCATACTATATATCATTAAACAGAGGAGATTGTAGAACAAACTCAGAGGGCGATAAAGGGTCTCTGTGTATGTGCCTTCAAATCACCTGCCAACTTATGGTGACCCCATGAATTTCATAGTGTTTTCTTAAGCAAAGAATACTCAGAGTTGGTTTTACCAGTTCCTTTCTTTGAACTGTAAATTTGTTGTTGTGTGCCTTCAAGTCATTTCTGACTTATGGTGACCCTAAGGTGAACTCATTACAGTGTTTTATTGACAAGATTTGTTCAGAGGGGGGTTACCTTTACTGAGAGAGTGTGGCTTGCCCAAGATCATCCATGGTCAAGCAGAGAGTCGAACCCGAGTGTCCTGGAGTTGTAGTTCAACACTCTAACCACTGTACCACACTGATGCAGCAGTACAAAAGAGCTGTGCCATCATTTCCAAATTATCCTCTGTTGAAGCAGATCAGAGCCGAGAATGTTACATGCATTTACATTTCATTGAAGCAAGAAGGTGCACCTGTTTTACATTAAACAAGATAAATTAATTAACTTGAATAGCATTGTCAGGACAAAATTTTAGAGCAGAAAGTCTAGATCTTTTTCAGCAGAATGAGAAGGGCAGTCCTCAAACACAGCAAGACTGGCTTTTGATATTTTGAAGAGAGGAAATTTAGGGGGTTGCAGACTGCCAGAAATAGTGCAAATTGAGTCCACTTTTAGGGTTAGGGTTAGTGCTAGGGAATCATGGGAATTGGGTTTTTTTCTGAGACATTGAGCCTTCTCTGTCAGAGAGCTCTGGTGCCACAATAAACTACAGTTCCCATGATTCCCTAATCCTAACCCTAACCCTAAAAGTGCACTCAATTTGCACTATTTCTGGCAGTCTGCAACCCCCCTTACTTATTTATTTGATTCATTTTTATGCCTGCTTTCTCCCAAAAAGGGACCCAAGCCAATCCACAAGACAAAAACATTTTAAAAACTTTATGATAAGAATTTAAAAACAGTTAAAATTATCTAATTAAGACAGTATAAAATTAACATTAAAAGATAAAAAAAATAGAAAATAATTGTTCTTGTTGTTAAATGTCATCGAGTCACCTTCAATTTATGGTGACCCTATGAATGAGAGACCTACATGAGCCTCAGTCATCAACAGATCTGTTCAGATTTTGCAAACTTGGGATAGATGAGGCTTCCTTTATTGAATTGATCCCTCTGTACTGCTATCTTCTTCTTTTCCTACTGGACTCCATTTTTCTGAGTATTATAATCTTTGCCAATGAGCTGACAAAGAGATTATGACCATCTGTTGGGGATGCTTTGGTTTTGAGTTCCTACATGGCAGGGGGTTGGACTGGATGGCCCTGGTGGCATCTTCCAACTCTATGATTCTATGATCTTTGGGAAATTATCACACAAGATCCCATTCTCACAACAATTGTATTAATGAAAGGAAACACCCATGTACTGCCTTGGGAGCAGTCTCTATCGCATGTGTCTGCAGTCACCGTAGCACCCATTGCTGATCCAGGACTTTTTCCCACAGCTTGCTCCTTAACCCAGCCTCCCTGCCCTACTGCTTTACCAGCATGCCTTTAGGAATTTTGTTTTTATTTCTCTCTCTCTTTTAAAAACATTTTAGGCATCATGGCAATGCAATTTAGGTAGAGGAAGAAAAGAAAGATTAGAAAAAAGAAAAGAAAAAGAAAACTGCTTGGGAATAGTGGGGGAGACGGGAAACTGACACCAATTCTGGGACTGCAGCCCAGACATTATCAAAGACAAACCTAATGCTACAACAGTGATATTGGCAGAAATTGATGGCAAAAGACCTTGATAGAAAGGTATGTGATAGTCATGGATGGAGAGGAGATCAGTTACAGCTCAGCCACAGTTTCATCTGATAAGGTTCTGCCATAGTTGCATCTATTCTGCTTTAATTCTACATTTTAGACTCCTATAATAATCTCTAAATTGTATCATGATATATCCAAAGTATGGTAGCCTCAGTTTAGTCATTTTAGCTTGTAGGGAGAGTTCAATTTGTATTGATCTGCAGTTTCTCAGTCCCAGAATATGAAAATATTTAGCACCAGCAAACAATGTTTGATTTTCTGGTAGGGCCCATTTATTGTCTTTTTGGTGGTCCGCAATATTCATAGAACTCTCCTCCAGAAATACATTTTAAATGAGTTGATCTTCCTCCTATAAGCTTTCTTCGCTGTACAGCTTTCATAGCCATACATGGAAATCAGAAATACTACAGAATGGCTAATTCTAACTTTGGTATTCATTGATATTATCTTTACACTTGAGGAGCATATCTAGTAACTTCATAACTGCCCTTTCTTGTCTTCTTCTAATTTCTTAACTACAGTTTCCATTTTGATTAAAGACTGAGCCAAGGTATAGAAAACTGGATA